CTCTCTCTCTCTTTTTTTTTTTTCCCTCCCCTCCCCGCCCCGAATATTATGAACAGCTGCTTTGGGCTGTGGGGTTATCAGAGAAGTAGAGCTGTGAGTTGAAGAGTTAGGATCGTTGTCTTGGTTCTGCTTGGGCAGGTTATTTCGCCCTGTAAGCCTCACTTTTGTCGTCTGAGAACTAGGGAGAATGATAAATATTTGTAGACTACCTAGAGTTGTTTTAAACTCTTATTTCTTTTTTTTTTTTTGAAATAACTCTTATTTCAATCAATGATTTTGCTTATCTGACCTAGCAGAAAACTCAAAAATCTCTTGTCAGTGGGCAGTCAGAGCTCTGACAGCTGTCTTAGCATCACAAGACTTCCACTATTCTTTCTACAAAGTAACAAAATAAAGCATGCCTGTACCTAGAGCTTTTGCCGTCATCCCACGAACAGCAAAACCCTGATTTACAACAGAAACATCAGAGTTTAAGCAACAGGAGTCTGAGCAGGAAAGAACTCAGGTTTGCTTAGGTTCCCAGTGAACTTTGGCTAGAAAATACACTCCAGTATTACCACTGCATCAGTAATTTCTTTTTTCTCCCTATAAGAACATGAAAAACATGTTTTCTGCAGTTGTCTGAGGAAATGATGTTGTGCTTTGATTACAGAAGCAGAAGAGGTCCTTCATGTCCAGACTTAACATAAAATGCTACGCAGCATTCCCAGTATTAAAGAGGAGCTCTGCCTCATCCTTTGAAGGAAGCCAACAGTAGTAAAATGAACCATTTCATAACCGTATACGTTCTTTATAAGTTAATTTCTGATCCTGTAAAATATCGATCTCTGTCAACCATGGTGATAAATCCAGTCCTTGCTTGACCTATAGGGCAACAAATGCACAACTTTTTTTCACCATACTACCTTTTAATTTGGAAGCTGAGATGAAATTTATGATTGAGTAGTTAAAGTAATATTTCAGATGTATGTATTACTTTTCATCTTGAAAGATCTTAAAAGCCTTTGCAAACTAGGTACACAGAACAAAGCTCGTGCCATTCCAAGAGTGCCTTCCCCACAGAAACTTCTCTATTGTCACTGACAAAATCATGTTTATTACCTTTATTTAGTGATTTCTGCTGGCTGTTTCTTGTGCTTCTGCCAGTTGCCAGTGAATATCCCCCTCCATTGAAGTAATTAATGATGGATTGGGTTCTGTTCTTGTCATATATTTTTGTTGGCTTATTTTTTCTGTTACTTTTATCTAGCTTTGCTTAATAAGTTTGAAGGGAGTCGGTCTTACCTTTTTGCTGTATGTTGTACATGTTGAGGAAAGCATTCCCTTAGAAGTGATTGTTTTGATTTAAATGTGTGTTAGGTGCTTGAATTTCCAAAACGATTTTAAAATCACTGTTCATATTTTGATGTCTATATTCTGGTTTCAGTTTGTTTATTTAACTGCTGCCACAACATTTATGTACTTGAATTTAATGTTGCATAAACTTGAAAAAGTCAGTGCATGACTAAGAACATCTTAAAATTTCTGGTAATTTAATTTATTGCCTTAGCGCATGTGTGGAAAAAATCCTAAGGTAGAACATATATGCTGCATTTAATCTAATCTAAATCAGCCTTTTATATATCTGGTAGAGAGTTTGAAAAAACAGAACAAAACAGGTTGTCTTAGATCTGCCTATTAGAAAAAAGGCACCTTAGTGGGGGGTGATGAGTCAGTGAATGTCAGCTCCGTCTCAGTAGCTGTAGGTGTCTGATAACATAGTTCACTGTGAGTGTGTGGCAGAATGGCTGCGAGATGCTAACACGTGGGCTCCAGCTCTCCTCAGAGGTTTTGTGTTAGTCACCTCAACTGCCAATGCCTTCTCATAGCTGTGGAGCCGCAGGAGTCTCTTTCAGCCATACAATTTTCTTGTGTGACATCAGCCACAGAAACAGGCAAGTCTTCACCTTACCACCTTGGTGGGCTGCCTAGGGTCAGTTGGATACCCGTCAGCAAGGACCACTACCATAAGCAGATGATATCCATGGACTTTATGCACCCTTTCTTATGTACAGATCTTCACCCTGCAATTTTGGAAAGGAAAATTTCTGTGAAGCATAGTTCTCAATGAAAGATCTAAATACTTCACCTTTATCACACAGGAAAAGTATACGCATGGACAAATTATCAGCAGGGCACTTAATGTGTAGTAATTTCTTTGCATGTCCATAGTCCTGTGTACTAAATATTGAGAATTCATGAAGTCATCTTGCAACGATGGGTAAGTGTATTCTATGGTATGCGTAGTGTAATACAATACATACATAGATACCTACAAGTACTGAAGAAAATTACGTTTGAAGTAGAGTGTGTTGGAAGGAGCAGAACTGATTCTAAGGCATAGGGCAATCATACTGGTTGAGCTGTGTCACCAACTCTACCCTAGATAGCCTGAAAAACAGTCAGTGCCAGCAGATCATCGTTTTCTAATGTCAGCTACTTCGTGTTCGGGAGACAGGGAACCATCTGCTGTGGTGATGGCTGCCCTGCATAAGGAAACACCTCGTTCCACTCTCACAGCTCTGCGTGTTCCTGCAGCAGAACAGATGAGTGAGGATGCAATTATGTGTGCTTTTCAGTATGACAATGCATAGAGTTCAACTTTAATTTAATTTAATTTAATTTGAAAAATGCATCCTGCTTCTCTGATTCTGAAACTTCTTGAGTAGTAAATCAGTTTCTGTAGTAGCTGCCATTGACGTTTCACAGGACTTCAGAATGTCAGACAAGAACGAGCTGTTTAAATACAGGTTAAGTGAATGCAGAGATCGTTCACTGCGGAGGTCAGGTTAGTCTGTGGTTCAAGATTATAGAAACAGATGAAGGTTTATGCTCTCTCTCTCTCTTTGTTTTTCTTTTGAGGAGCTCTGAGGCCCTACCTAAAGTCTGAGCTTATGTCTGTCATGCAGAAAACAAGTTAGCTGGGCTGGTGGTCATAGAAAGCAACAGAGCGTGCAAATTACCCAACTGTGTCACTTGTCCCTCCTTTCCCCTGTTCTCAGGAGATTTCATCATGGAAATAGGGATGGTGCAAGAAATCTGCTTATGAGTTCCTTTAAACATGGACACATGTAGCTAGCTTTGTATCAGTCTCTGTCAGGCAGATGACTTTAGTCTAGAGTAGAATTAGGATGTATGCAACTTCAGACAAAACACTGGGTTTGTGCACAAATTTATAAGACTAACTCCTAAGAAAAGAGGAACACTTAACACTCACAACGCACCATTCAGTCTACATTTAATTCTTCTTTTCAACAAACAGGAGGATAATGTTAGTATTATTGACTCTTTTCGTGTGTAAATTTGCACATAGCAATGCACTGAGCATTTTTTGGTCAAAGGGCTTGATAAAAAGGAATCAAAAGCAAATCTTATTTAAGCCAGAAGACTCTGCATTCTGAAATCCTCTTTTTCTTTCCATTTAACACATCAAAATATATGGGAGCATGCTTTTACAATGCTACGGCTGTAAGAAAATAGGTACTTCTTAGGATGTAGAAGGTTGTGTCTTTAACTTTTAAGAATTTCTGAAAATAGCAATTAGGAGTTTGTAGATGTCACTGTTTAGAAAGTGTTCTGCAAGTGCCAGTATTTTTGAGCTGCCCTGCCTTGATAACCAAGCTGTAATGTGATGCCAAAGCTAGCAAGGGAAAGGGCAGCGGCAAGGACCTCAGTTAAAAGTTTACTAGTCCAACTTGCTTCTCTGTTAGCAGCTGTAAAGAGAAACTTTTGGAAGAGATATAACATGTAATCTCTTGCTTAGCAAGTGAAAGGTTGATGATTGCGTAGGAACCAGAAGGGCGTTTTGGGCTTAAGATCCACTGAGTTATGTCAGGCTCACTTAAACTTGCTGCAGAGTAGCTCCAAACCTTCACTTTGCAGCTCTCAATAAAATGTGTTCAGCTACCTACTCTTTAGTAATTGAAGAAATCCCTAACATCAAGTTATGGTGGCAAATAAAAGTTGCAGTAAACTTCCTCGTCATTGCAACTTTCAGATTAAATTAGTGCAGTGTTTGCTTACAAATCTGCCTTTGGAGATTATCAGGAAGCTATTACAGAATGTACTCAACGGTGTGAGATCATTATGCTATTCAAATACTTGTAGCAGAAGGTCTCAGACATGGTTTTTAATAGAGTTGAAATTTCTGTGATAGAAAAACAAACTGAATTTCTGAAAACAGTGTTCTTACTAAATTCAATCTCTTGACACTAGGACTTTAAAAGCCCTACAAATATTTTTATTGTTTCTCTGTATGTGTGAGGAGGGGGAGATACATGCCCTATAAAGCCTCCTTTTTATTTTTTGAAAAGTGTATCATTTGATAACAGTGTCTAGATTTTAAACATCAACAGGTGATCATCTGGTGCTCTTGATGAAAAATGCTGAATTTGAGAACTTGTCGCTTTTTGGTAGTCCAGTGGTACTGGAGCCTACTAATGCGCAAACGCTGCGAAGTCTACCTGTGATCTCCTACAGAGAAGTGGTTGTGCAGTTACCTGCCTTCTTGTAGCAGTTGAGAGTCTCCTTGTGAACTTCTGTTGTGGTGTGCATGCGTAGGAAAACAAGTATGACAAACATTTTTGTTATGCTAGCAGTGTCTTTGTTAGTATGGTTTTTGGCAAGACAGTGTGCTTTTCCTTAAAAATTAGTGTCATGCTCTACTTTTTAAATTGTTAACCCTACCCCAGCCCAAGTCCCTGTGGCCTCTCCTTTCCACCAGTATTTTCCTTGTGCAAGTTAGACTAGCATGCCCACTTGCATTTTTCCAGGACCTGGTCTCCTCTGTGTTTTGCGTTTGCACTACACCATTTCAAGAAAAAGCTGGCAAAACCAGTGAGATATACAAATAAAATAGTGTAAAATAACATAAAAATAAAACCTTCTGAGAATGTACAGAAAATGAATTCATGTCATAACTGCAATAAATATGATAAACATTTTTTCACTTTCAGGTTTAAAAATGTCTGACCAGAAACATATTGTACACAGAGCCCATTGTATTGAAAAACTACTGTCTGAGAACAATTTCCAAGATATTGAAGATCATCTTAAAGAACTTGAAGATGTTGATATGACTATAGAATATCTTCAGGGGACAGACGTTGCCAAGGCTGTATACAGAGTACTCAAGAGCTGCCCTTCAGTAGAGCTGAAAAAGAAAGCGAAGCAGTTATTATCAAGGTGGAAAGCACTTTACAAGAATAACTGTGCTCAGTCAATGCAAGTTAAAAAGTCAGTTTCTGTGCATGTGAAAGAGGAAATTGAACATCTCAGTGTGGTTCCTGGAGAGCAGTTGCTGTCTGAAGGACCATGTCAGCAGGAGACTCTAGATGGTACTAGTTCTAAAATTTTGGTCTCTTCGCAAATGGTTAAAAATGTAGTACGTAACGACGCAGAAGGCAGCATGAATCAGCTTGCTTCTTTTCGGGAGCAACACGCTGATAATGAAGATTCTAAACCTCTTGTTAATGAAGCGAGTATGCAGCAGGATCCAGTTAGAGCTCTGAGGTGTAAATGCATGGATCTTCTTTATAAAGCTTTGGCTGGTTCTACCAAAGATGAAGAAGAAACTGGTAAATGGCTGGAGCTATCTAAAGAAATAGAAGAACATGTTTTTGCTCTTTATGCTAAAAATGACAAAAAGTATAAAAATTGCATCAGAAGCAAAATCTCTAACCTGAAAAACCCAAAAAGTTGCCACTTAAAACATAACCTTTTTTCAGGGACTTTGAGTCCAAAGGCTTTTGCTGAGATGACAGTGATGGAAATGGCCAGCAATGAACTGAAAGAGCTCAGGGCTCTGTATACAGAATCATCTGTTCAGGAACATCAGCTTCCACAAGTTATTAATGGCACACAAACAAACAAAATAAAGTGTAGGCGCTGTGAAAAATTTGACTGCACTGTCACTATGATTGCCAGAGGAACTCTCTTTCTTCCAGGCTGGGTGCGAAACACAAATCCAGATGAGCAAATGTTGACTTACGTTATTTGTAATGAATGCGGAGAACAGTGGTATCACAGCAGATGGATTTGTTTGTAACGCTATCCCTCTTTAGTAACTGGTTTAGAAACGTAGATATGAGAAGATATCTCTGCTGAAACTGTATAATTTAAAATTTTGTGTTGATACTGTGTAGATGCTGCCACTAAAAAGAGCAATTTTTTAAAACTGATTTTGCAAAGTTATTTTTTTAAGATAAGTTGAATAAATCTATGTGGTTTTAAGTAATATCAATATGTAAAGAAATAAACAAAAAAGGAAAAAAATGGTAACACTGTATCCAAGAGAGTTAATAAATTCACTAGTAAATCCATTAAAAATATTCTAAGTGCTGCAGTTTTTTTCCCCCGAGGTACTGAGTACCTGGAATTTTCATTATCTTCAGCAGGAGTTTTTGCATAGAATATAAGTTTTGTTTACAGTAAACAAACTGTTTCCAAAACTGCAGTTCACATACTTGGGTGCGTTGCAGAATGTTCAGCATGGATTCACTCCTTAATGAAATGACTTTTTGCAAGTAAGTGTTAGATTATTAAGTTGGTTTGAGAGGTAATGTCTAACAGGAAAAAAGGAATGAAAAGCAGAGTGTAAAAGAGGGAGAAGGCAACTAGAAAATGAAAGCAAAAATGAAATTCTGTTTTAGCTTTTTATAGCTACTGGGAGGAAAATATGTCTTGCGACAACCTATGACTTTGCAATTCAGATTTGCAATGTAGGATGGTGTGTCCTGCAACTGCTAAGAAATTAAGGCAAGATCAGATAGCGGTTTGTTTCAGGAAATCATGTAAATACATAAATAAATTTATTGTTATACAATATATAAAAGCATGATGTTAACAGGAGTTACTTTCTGAATGGTTTTCTTGTCTTGAACTGGGACATCTGTCCTGAACTGAGCAAATTAATTTTTTATGTAGTGCAAGTTACTCAGAAAAAAATGAATAGAAGGAAATCTAATAACTAAAGTTTTTATGCATGTTTTTGTTCCCGAGTTAGCAGGATTCCCACTAGCTGTATACTAGAAGCATGTGTTTATCAAAAAATACCACCTTAGCATTCTTCTCACTCAAGTAATAGTCCTGTTGTTTTGTGTTTGTTTGTTTGTTTGTTTTTTCTGGAAAACTTAAAATTACTTCAAAATCAGCTATCTGAATACTTCGAATGGAGTATATATCAGAGCTCAGGGATATGTTTCTTTTCGGAACTGAGAGGACCACCTGATTCCAGGTGTCTTTCACAGCTGTCTATTGGTCTGTAAAAGACTGTGTTCATACTCTGTGTCCCTATTTTGGTTTCTTCCCTGGTTTTGAGTTACTTTAAATGTTCAAATGAGAGGAAATGGGTCTCACATTGAGTCCTAATTTTCTGAGCACATGCATGTGTCAACTCACAGACCTAAGGAAATACAGTGAAGAATAAGCCTGCCCTGCCTGAGAGGTTAGGTTCTTGCAGCAAAGCAGTAGTACCGCCTGGAAACATAACCTTCATAATGAGTTTCCTTGTTGGAGTACGGACAAGATGATGAAATGGGTCAACAAATTGCCGAAGTCATGCTTTAGGCACGGAGGAAAATGTTTCGTTTCACCCCATTGTGTAAACACAATAAAGCTGCATACGTGGCATTAACGGAGATATCTTTTACAAACGCACAACAGGCATTTTGCAGCTCAAGGCTAAGATGCATCAGCTGAGGAGAGAAACCGAGTAGGTATTTGCTGGAGGAATTAAGGATTCAGTTCCTGCACCCGTCCAGCTGTAACACAGCTGAGACCCATCAGCTTCTCTAGGCTAAGGCACTGCCCTGGAGCTCTCCAGCCACATAACCTGTCAGAGGAAGGAGTTAGGGGTGTGAGATGAGAAAATAGCTGTTGGTGAACTAAAAGTGAGGCAGGACTAAAAATAAAACCGTAGATAGGCCTTTATCCACATGTGGTGAAAATGGCGTGTGACCTGATGCTACAAAGAGGTGCTTACAGTTACTCTACTGAAAAAAAACCAAGAAACATCTCCATTCTGTGAAGTGTTAACATTTAACTTTCAGCGGTGTGCTTTACTGTGGTATTACCTAGATTTTTATCATAGGAAAACCTGTGTTTTAGTGGAATTGCACTGATGTAAAACAAACATTAAAGCAATAGGCCAAACCCCCAGTGTTCAACTCTGTGACCAACCAGTTAAGATGAGACCTTCCTTTCCAGCCCTTACCCATGTGCTGGAATCGATGCGTACAAGTAGTCCTGCTTGCTTAAGTGGCAGTGCTTCTGCGCAAAGTATTACTGAAAGCTAAAAATAAAACCGTAGGAAAGCAAACACTTCTGTGTCACTGGTTCGCAGTAAGCACGGAGTTTTGTGCTGTCATTTTGGAGGCCATGGTCCTGTTGAGGAGAGCTGTGTGCCAGTGCTGTGCTGTGTCAGAACACCATGTAGCAGGAGACTTTATTTTAGCTATGAACAACAGACACTTATAAATAATTTCTGCTTGCGGGTGGTTTTGAAGCCATTCCAGTCATGTGCAGCTCATCCAAGTTTTGTCCTGGCGAAGGGAAATGTTACAAAGCATGGGTGGTGTTTTTGATATAATATATTTCAAGGGTAAAATTTGTAGCTTAATACTGACTACATTTGTAGCTTTATGTGTAACATGATTTTCTTTTGAACTGCCCATCACGAAATGTATAGTGCTAAGCTATATGCCTGAAAATGACTGGGATTTTCTACCGATCCATATTTACTGAGCAGCTAAGAAAACATAAACAGCGGATGTTTTAGAACTTTTTCATGTCATTGAGCAAGCGTGCCTCACTGTGGATCTGAGTGAGCTGTACCTCCAGCAGCAAGAGGGTCGTTTGGTTCTAGTGTTTCACATCTTGCCTTTTCTCCTAAGATGCAGTTACTGCCAACAACTGCGGTTGCAGCTTATGGCATAGAAACAACTGTCAGTAACTACAAATAGTCAAAAAATGGATTATAACTGTGCCCCGTTTACAACTATCCCTTAACTTTCTTCCTTCTGTTTCAAACTGAGAGCAGTCAGAACTCTTAGGGCAAGTCCTTGGTACCCTCCCAGTTGTAAACTCAGAATTTTAAAATGGTTTTCCATGGTAATACGTTGTGAGCAGGCATTCCTCCATTGCCTTCCTTCCCAGTAACAATGGAACCTGATAGCCGGCTTTGTAACAAATCCAGTTAAAGCTAGACATTAAAATATGAGAATATATTTGTAAATTTTGTGAAATTCAGTAATCATGAAAAGTAATTATGTTCCTGTTGAAAGAGATGAAGCCCTTACCTTTTTTCAGGAGTTACCTATTCCAAGCTGCTAGCTGCTGAGTCAACACACACGTAGTTGCTAGGTGGTTAATATTACCTGAAAGTCAGACACAAAATATGCTGCTGCTTGCCCAGATAGTAGTCTGGGACAAGGAGGACATCTGGGAATACCGGCAGAAAGGAGCAGAAAGTATTGGGAGGCAGGGAGAGTGGACTGGGCCCATTGTTAAGTATGCTGAGGGCACACATCTATAGGAAATGAGGCTTTGTTGTTCCAGGGCTTGTGAAAAAGCTCATCTAGGTTCAGTTTCACTTTATGCCTAGTTCATGCTGGTAAACATACTGCCCACAACTCCACATACAACAGTGAAACTGTGTACAAATTCATGAATTACTGCATTACCTTCTTGATCATCTTATGCCATTGGTTGTTTTCATCTAACACAGTTCATTGCCGCTTTGGCCATTTTTCTATCTGTGTTTATATCCAATTCTCGTAACTTGAAAGGTTTAGTAGAAAGCACGTGTCTCGTAGTGTTATGTGCCACTATAAATCAGAATACTGTACAATCATGAAATGCCAAATATGAGAGACAGTCATTCAAGTAAATCATTGCTCTTATTTGAAAAGGTGTGGTCACAGTTTCACTAAGCAAAGTACTGCTTCAGGCCCCAGTTTGTCAATAGGTTATGTTGTCCCTACCCAGATTGTGTAACTGCACAGGCTTAAAATGTTTCACTGGATAAGATTGTATGCCTTGGCTCAAAATGGCTTTAAAAAGTCAATTTGCTACTACGCAGCATATGTGCCAACAGGAGGGTCTAGATTACTGGAGTACAAGGATATCAGAGTCCGGAAACAAGAATAAAAGGAAAGCTTTGAAAAGTGAGATTCTTTTATGTTGTTGAAGTTATCTCTTTTCAGTTTGTTCCAGATGGGAAAAAGATCCCTTAGCTATTTAAAGCAGAGACAATTAATTTTGGTACGTTTAGCATATCCATGATGCTGCTCCACAAAGGAGCATGACATTGAGATGATCCACACAGACATAGGACAAATGTACGCTGAATAAGGCTTAAGTCTGTATTTGTTTTCACTGGATTTTCAAGAGACGCTGTAAATTCAGCTGCTTCTTGAATCCTACGATTTAACAGTAGCAATAAGGTCTTAAATGTAGATTACACTCAAAGCTCAAGCAACTGGTAGGTGCAGAACTTGTAATACGTGTTTTAAGATTAGAGCTAAATTAACAATGAATTTCGCACAACTTTCAGTGTAAAAGCGAAGATATTATTCTGAACAGCACTCAGTTAATAGATTCATAGATTCCTAGATTTCTAGGTTGGAAAAGACCTTAGAGATCATCCAGTCAAACCGTCCCTAATCCCCCGTTAAACCATATC